TGTGATGAAAAGCTGATAATAGATCTTTATGCTGACTTTGATGTTAACAAATGAAAACATTGTGTCTATACAACACGCAGAATATATACACTTACATACTAAATTATCTTTGAAGTTTTGATTGTAACATAGTTAAACACAAAAAAATGTAAAAGATATTGTGATTTCCTTAAAACCTTTTGTCTGTTATTTTACCTACAAATGCACAATCACACTAAAGACATTAGAAAAACCCTGTGTCGATCCCAAATATAAAGTTACAATAATACAAACCTTCAGAGCGCCTAATTAAATTTAACATATATTTAGAACATCTCAGTATACACTGTGAGGGAACTCTTAGCTCCTGGCTTGTAAGAGATAAGTAAATGTTATTATCTAGAGAAAGAAGACATCATTATTTTCAAAATCAACAAAGTGAAGTGAACTTCAAAAAGTACCTTTAAAAACTGCTTATTAAAGTATTCCTGGAAATGTATTGTGCTTGACATATTTTGAGGAAAATAATGTAACCCTGAATGAAAAGAAATTGTGAAATGGGACATTTATTTCCCAGAAGTAAAAAATGAAATGAAATAAAGGGAAGCAAAATACCTTTTTGCTGATGTTGTAGCTTTCAAGTTGTACCCAATCCAATTCAGGAATATAGCAATGACATATACATTGAAAGCTTAAAAAAGCAGATGTATTTATTTAATCACTATTGTTTTGAGACACCATCACTGTGGAAATCAGTTCATACTTTTAACAACGTTACACACTTTCTTAACTAAGTTTGTTAATATGTTCTGGGTAAATGTAAAAATTTTAAAAATAAATAGTTACTCTGATAATTTAGGGCTGGAAAACCCAAGTTTGGTATTCTTCTCTTTTTTAAAGAAAAGGTTAGCTGAAAGCGTTTTATACACCTAATAAGCCGATGGATACTTTAACTAGATTTTTTTTTATTTGCCTGTTAACCATACAAAATAAATGCATATTTCTACATAATAAGCATAAGAGGCAGGATATTTTCTTTGATACATAATTACTGCACACTTGATTTTAGCCAAAGGCCGAAAAGTAATAGGTTTTTTTTCAGATCATATAAATTGTTCAATTTTTTTTGATACATAAGAATATATTTTCAGTACAAAGTTTTTGGAGCAAGTTCACAAACAGTACTGTACAAAAGTCTCTCATGTTTAATTTTGCATCCTAGAAATAAAAATGTCAGTATATGCCAAATAACTCTGAACCTATGGAAAAATTGATATATTTTCTGCCAAACATCCAGACAGATGCTCTAAAGATTCTATACCGATAGAATTCAGCTGAATATGAATTCTCATATTCATATTGAATATCTTGAAAATCAAGATAAAATTTTTCATCAAATAAATAGACAATTTTAATGGAAGTAGTCCATGATTTATGACCGCAATTGGCACCAGAATTTTGGTCACTAAGCAGTTAAATTATTAAGTGAGTCATCCTGTAACCAGACCCAATTTTACAACCATTTTTATCATGGTCAATAAGTGAATTGCATGGTTATTAAGTATATCTGGCTTCCCCAATTGATTTTGCTTCCTGGAAACCAGCTGGGAAGGTCACAGAACATGATCACATGATTGCAAGACACTGCAACTATCATGAATATGAGCCAGTTGCCAAGCACCCCTATCATGATCGTGTGACTGTGGGGTGGTGCGACGGTCACAATGTCAAAGACAGGTTGTATATTACCTTTTTTATGGTATTGTAACTTAGAACATTGTTCAACATTGTTGTAAATCAAGGATTACCTGTAGTTTTGTTCTTCCTGTTGTTAACCATTTCAGATCTACTCTTTTAAATATCTGTCACCATTCATTAACAATGTATAAATATAATTTCAATCTTATCACATCTAATTTTCCTCTGTGATTTTTCACATGATTTTGGAGGCCAAAGGTGTAGCTTAAAAATTATTTTGCAGAAATACCTCTGATTATTTACTGCTTAATACTAGACATATTTATAAGATTTGCTCAGAGCTGTTAGGTAGACTGTCCATCAATTCAAAAAGGAATTTCTGAATGAGAATTAAAATGTAGAAGAAATAAGTAAATTTAGAATAAGATTCCAAGCTAGGCAGGTTAGCAATGTTTTCAGCTGGAATAGAAAACTAATAATATCCGGAAATTGACTGCTTAAAATGCATGTAGATATAAAGAAAGGCAGAAATGGCTCAGACAAAAGAACATGAAGAGGCAGCATAAAAGCAACTAAGAAACATATGCGGTACATGATGTGACTTTTAATGAGAAATTCTTTTGCACTTTTTTTGTCTACTACAAAAATCTATGTAGTTCAGAAAGCACACAATAGCAGTGATACCATTTTGTAGGATTTAATAGGGTTGATGCCCAGTCAAAAAAGTAGCCTTTACAAAGGTAGATCATGACTTTCTCGGTTGCTTGCCATGTTAGAGCCATTTCATGTCCAGCACTATAAATCTTAATCTTGATTGGTCTCAGCATCAACAGATTGCTTCTTGCAATGAAGTTCCTTAACCTACACATTTCAGAGTTACATTACAGTTCTCTAGATCTCCATCTCTATTATATTTAAATAAGCAAGAGTAGGTGCCAATAGAACCCTCTAAAACTCTTTTCTTTCTAGCTGTGTTTTACAAGTGCTTTTATATATGCAAGTGTCTATGGAGAATCTCAGTCATGGTTATCCCAAAGGTGCTTTTTCAAGAGGCAACTGGATTTTCTTGTTTTTCTTTGAAGACATTTCACTTCTTATCCAAGAAGCTTGAATGACACCATCTATCTTCAGTCTATAACACAGTCCTTTCAACAGTTCCAAGAAGGCTCCACACCCATTTGCACTACTCAGGTGGCTCTGAGGACACAGGCAAACCTCCGAGTGGCCTCAATAACTCTCTAAAAGAACACAAATGACTAGCTGTCTGCAAGGAATATAAATCTTTCCATTCCCCACCATCCAGTCAGAGCTGAAGAAGCTTCTTGGACGAGAAGCGAAACGTCTTCAAAGAAAAACAAGAAAGTCTAGTTGCCACTTGCAAAAACACCTTTGGGACATTATATTCAAGCGCTGTTTGCATTTACAGATAATTCCTGAGTTGTGATCGTTCCCTTAGCAAAAGTTCGAAGTTACGCAATAAGGGCCCCCTAGTGCTTATGAGCAAATCTCAAAATTACAAATATTGCAGCGCCACGGCAGTCGTTCACTGCCGTGACGCTGCAACATTCACCCTAATTATTCCCTCCCTCCCCACCCTCGCCCCGGGTCTCATAGGCACTAGGCTTTCAGTACTCTGCGAAGATCGAGATCCTTCACTTTCTTGGCTGCTCTAGGCATTTGGTGTGTTTGCAGAGAATGGAGGCCTGAAGTAATACAACATCACACAAGATCAGTGGGGCAAAATCACACGCTACTGATCTTGCGTGATCTCATGGTACTTTAGGCCTTTGTTCTCTGCAACAGAGAACGGAACCAAAGCCGGGGGACATTTCTGCGTGCCTCCGGAGGTTGGATCCATGAGCCGGAGGCCTTTTCCAGGCCGCTGCCACCGAGATCTGAGGCAGGGGACACTTGTGCGGCCCTCCAGAGGAAACAAGCTAATTAGTGGCAACTGAAAAATTTTTTGCAAAAGGAGATGCAGCCTGCTTGCAGGCATTTAGTTCCTGAGCGGAAGCAAACAGCTGATGGGCAGCGGCAGCAGCGGGAAGGCCTCTCAGTTCAGGCAGAGATCAATTAACAAAGTGGAGGAAATAGTAAGTCAGATCTTCATTCATTTAACGATCCATTTGATTTAATTAATGAATTTGATTTTAAACATTTATAACATTGAATCTGATTCATTTGATGAATTTTTTGACTTACGAATCTAATGGGCAGGCTGCATTAGGTTCGTACCTTGAGGACTACCTGTATTCTATGTAGGACAAAGAATTACTTGAAGAGCAGTGCAAATCAAAATAGGAGTTTTTCCCAATACATAGCCTTAAAGATGCAATGTGCTAAAAATTATCTTGTACCAGAGATTTTACTAGGGGAAACTCCTGCACTAATGTGCAAATGATTACACTTATCGTGAGTATTTTTTTAGAAATATTATTAAATACTTTGAAAATAAATATATGAAATTATACACAAAAGAACGTGACCAGCATATCATGTTATTTCCTCTTATTTCTGGATTTCAAGATACTGTATGTATATTATTGCTTTATGAAAATTATCCCCACAGAAGATATTTATTAATGTCAATCTGGATGTAAGATGTTGAGTACACAAATCACTCAGGAAATAAAACATGTAGTACTGTAATAGACATACCATGAAAGAAAAGGAGATTAAACGAACAGTTAACAGGAGCATTCGATACTGAAATATTTGGTTACAAGTACCATTTATTCTTTTTATATTCAGAATTTTATCTTTTTCCATTCAATTTTTTGTTCCCAATGTATGCATCACAATAGCCCCAGTATTAGTGCTCCTTTCACAGCTTATTGTTGTGTTATTAAGAATGTGATACTGTCAGGAATGTATGAACAAAGTTTGCTCTCTTCATAAACAGATAAGGCCCATGCTAAATTAAAAAGGGAAAAAAACCATTCAGAACCACTGGATATAATATTTGTATAAAACTGAATTAAATTTACCCTTATTATAGAAAGTGAATTCTGAACATAAAACAGTTTATCCCTATTAAATATATTTCTTTTAAATAGCAAATTAGACTGCAGTAGGATGGTTATACTCTAAAGAGATATGAGAGCCATTGGGGTTTTTTTCCCCTACCAAGCTTTCTTTATATATTGAAAAAACTTTCAATAAATTCAACAATTTCTTTATTTTTTCATCGTGCACAGTTCAAGCATAAAACCTCAAAATTCCTCAGTGTTATCAACAAAAATTTCTAGTTTGAGTCAGTGAGTAAAAATAATTCATTCTTGCTTCTGATATGTTTGTTTGTTCGTTTGTTTAAATTGTTTTAGCTATGACAGTGAAGGCAGATTGACCAATGTCACATTTCCAACTGGAGTGGTCACTAATCTACATGGAGAAATGGAAAGGGCTATTACTGTTGATATTGAATCATCTAGCAGAGAGGATGATGTCAGCATCACTTCAAACCTATCCTCAATTGATTCTTTCTATACAATGGTCCAAGGTATGTTAACAAATTAAATGAAGCAATAGTGTTCAAGAGAAAAAAATGAATTAAAAGAAAAAACACTACTATATTTATTACAAATTGTGATGAAAACTAGCCTGTATTTTGTATAGGTATAGGGTTAAAGCCTTAATCTTGTATAATATACATACCTATTTAGAAGAAAATTCAACTGAATAAAGTCATAAACTCTATGCTTGTGTCTCTAATTTTTATGATTACTCTTTCACTAGTTGTGGATGCAATTTGCAAGTGAAAGTTTAAAAAATATTTAGTGACATTGATTAAAACTTTTTATATACACTCTGTTTCTAAAATGATTCTAAAGATGCATGTAGATGTAAAAAATAATGCTTCTTATGATATATAGTTGTCATACATTGGAATAAGTCAGATAAAGTTGAAAGGTCATAACCAAAATTAAGAGATTCAGTTGCATTAAAAAATAAACATTTGTTTTTTTTAATGCAACTAAATGTTGCATTAATGTTGACTTGGTTTCTGTTATTAATACTGTTGTATGAAAAATCATGGTTTAGAAATATATTTGTTGGGTTTCATTTCAGATCAGTTAAGAAATAGCTACCAGATTGGATATGATGGGTCTCTCAGAATCATCTATGCCAGTGGCCTGGATACACACTACCAAACAGAACCACATGTTTTAGCAGGTACAGCCAATCCAACTGTAGCAAAAAGAAATATGACTCTTCCTGGAGAAAATGGACAAAATTTAGTGGAGTGGAGATTTCGAAAAGAACAAGCACAAGGCAAAGTCAATGTGTTTGGCCGTAAGCTCAGAGTAAGTTACATCTCTAATGCATTTTTATTTTAAGATGAATAGTACAGAAGACCTAGTGAAAGCTGTGCTGCAGCTGCCAAAAAAGCCAACACAGTGCTAGAATCAAGATCATGTGAAGTATTAATACCACTTTACAATGCCTTGGTAAGGCCACACTTGGAATACTGCATCCAGTTTTGGTCACCACGATGTAAAAAAAGATGTTGAGACTCTAGAAGGAGTACAGAGAAGAGCAAGAAAGATGATTAGGGGACTGGTTGCTGGAATTGGGTATGTCTAGTTTAACAAAGAGAAGGACGAGGGGGGACATGATAGCAATGGTCCAATATCTCAGGGGCTACCACAAAGAAGAGGGGAGTCAAGCTATTTTCCAAAGCACCTGAAGGCAGGACAAGAAGCAATGGGTGGAAACTAACCAAAGACAGAAGCAACCTAGAACTAAGGAGAAACTTCTTGACAGTTAGAACAATTAACCAAAAAAGCCAACACAGTGCTAGGCTGCATTAACAGAGGGACAGAATCAAGATCACGTGAAGTATTAATACCACTTTACAATGCCTTGGTAAGGCCACACTTGGAATACTGCATCCAGTTTTGGTCACCACGATGTAAAAAAGATGTTGAGACTCTAGAAAGAGTACAGAGAAGAGCAAGAAAGATGATTAGGGGACTGGTTGCTGGAATTGGGTATGTCTAGTTTAACAAAGAGAAGGACGAGCGGGGACATGATAGCAGTGTTCCAATATCTCAGGGGCTACCACAAAGAAGAGGGAGTCAAGCTATTTTCCAAAGCGCCTGAAGGCAGGGCAAGAAGGAAGGGATGGAAACTAATCAAGGAGAGAAGCAACCTAGAACTAAGGAGAAATTAACCAGTGGAACAACCTGCCTCCAGAAGCAGTGAATGCTCCAACACTGGAAGTTTTTAAGAAGAAACTGGACAGCCATTTGTCCAAAATGGTATAGGGTTTCCTGCCTGAGCAGGGGGTTGGACTAGATGACCTCCAAGGTCCCTTCCAACTTTATCATTATTATTATTATTAAAGCTTTCACTGCTTCAACTGAACTTTTTTTTCTTTTAGCAAGTCTTCTGAAGCCAATAAGATAAAAAGAAAATGGAATAATCCTTGCTAATATAATTTAAAGTTAGCAATGCCTCAGAAAGGAATATCTTAATTCATCTGCTCATATTATTCTATGTATTTCTGGATTTATAACCCTCAGTTAGTTTTTACCATTAGCATTACACACTAAATATAAAATCCTTTCTATGCAACCCTATCTTTTTCTGCAGATACATAGAGTGATCATTTTAGATGAGACCCATTAACAGTGCTATAGGATAATCTTAGACATTAAGCTGTAGTCATCAACTGTATAATTTCTTACTTTTTTAAAAAGGAGGTTTACAACCCTAGGTGTATTTCATTTCACTGAATGTATGAAATGTGGGCTCTCCTCGTAGTATGTTGGTTTGTGACCTGTTGTCCAGGTTAGATATACTAGCTTTCATACCAAAGTATAAGCATGCTTCGGAAATAATTGGGCTTTATCTATGTTTGTAGCATACTATCCAAAAATCTTCAGTATTCAAAAACTGACCTGTATTGTCCCTAGTTTTAGCACAGGTGTGAATAAGACTGGTAACCTAATCAGCACTATTCAATCTCATTTGAATGTTCTATGGAAAAGCCTAAATTTACCAACAACATGATAGACAGCAGAGGTCAGTATCAATGAATCCATCTAGTCACAGCCATGGCATGTGAAAGATTGCAAATTGGAACCTAAAAAGCATAAATGGGAAAGGCATGAATTAACAAATGAAATGAAGAGTGATGTTATGTATGCCTGTGAAATTAAGAATAGAATGGTGTTGATAAGTACGAGTATGGAGGTGACATTTTAATTAATAAAAAGGCTTAAATGAATACCAGAAAGTATGAATTTATGTCATATTAGTTCTTGAGGTTGCTGAAAGTAAAATTTGTAGGTTGGTGATAATTATATGTTACTTTCCAGTAAATGACAATAAGAGATAAGGTTTGGAGAAATTATGCAGCATATTGAATGAATGAGATCCAGAGGGAAAATATTCTTTTAGATGATGGTGAGATGAATAGATAGTAGGAAAAAGACCATAGAGTATAGAAAAAATATTTAGGCCATTTGGACATCAAAGAATGAAAGATTCTGGTGAACATACATTTACAAAAAGGTTGGTTTTCAAATGTCATTGAAGCAGAATTCATAGGGGAAGTAAATGATTAAAAACATAACTGATATAATTGTTTATTATTACAAACTGAGACATTAGTGAAAGATATAGGGGAGATGAGAAGTTCTGAATGGGGGGCAGGTCATCTGAAAGCATCAAAAGTGAATAAAAAAAATATGCAGGGAAGAAAGGAAGTAAATGTATGAGAGTAAGTACAGTATGAGTTGTATATGAAAAGCTGGCAGAATATAACTCTCTCAGAAGAATGAATGGAAGTGAATATATGGAAAGAGGATTTGAAAGTTGCCTGGAATTAAGTGAGAATTAGACTCATTGTGTGCAAGTGAGAAGAGTACCACAGAATGTGGGGGTTACTCTAATGAAGAGTATGCCAAGGGCTGCTTAGAATGATCTCTGCAAATAGTGCCACTGAGAGAAATGTTAATATGTACACATAACAAAAGATAATTGCAAATGGGATGCTGTCTTTCTGTGGCATTGTGTAAGGGGTAAAAACATCAACAATGGACCTCCAGAATACATGGCTGTCGCCCACGACCTCAATTCTGGGACCTCCGGAAGCATGCAAAAGCTTCCCACAGCCTCCATTCTGGGCTTCAGAGGCCTGTGGAAGCATCCCCTAGCCTTCTTTCTGGGCGTCAGCAGCCTGGAAAAGGCCTCCGGCACCTGGATCGGGCCGCTAGAGGCCTGTAGAAGGCTCTGCCGGCTTCCATTCTGTTCTCTCTTGCAGAGAATAGAGGCCTAAACTATCGTGAAATCATGTGAGATCAATAGCGTGAGATCTCACACCACTGATCTCATATGAGCTTGCGTTGCTTTAGGCCTCCATTCTTTGCTAACGCACTGAAGGCCTGGAGCAGCCAAAAAAGCAAAGGATCTCTCGATATTCACAAGGTGAGTATCCACAGGCCCAGTGTCTAAGGAGAGCCAGGGGGTGAGGAATAGTCAGGGTGAATGTTGTAGTACCACTGCGGTCGTTTGTAAGGGTGCAGCAACGTTTGTAATTTCGGGACTTTTTTGTAAACACTAGGGGGTACTTATCATGTAACTTCAAACATTCGCTAAGGGAACACTCGTACCTTGGGGATTACTTGTATTCAGATAAAGGTATGGTAAAACAAAAGGTTGTATGGTAAAGAATGAATGAGTGTCAAATGAATGTGAATACAAATGTCAGTGACTAATACAAAGTGAAGGGTTGGTAAGATGGTTTCATCAGAGGGGGAAATTGAATGAGGGTCCAATTATAGAAAATATATCTGAAGGAAGAATGAATGGGTCAAGAGCAACCGGAAGGCTGAGAAAATTGTAGTTGGATGGAGTGTATAAGATTTTGAAAAAAGAGACAAGTTGAGAGTGTAAACAAGTGGTGCACAAATGTGCTAAAAGCAAGAGTGATTTCTAAGAATAAAAGTATATGGAGAGCTATAGTGAATAGTTTGGTGTAAACTAAATTTAGATATACTTCTTTTTACTTTTTGCATTTTTCTTATCTTATACTTATGATTTACTGTTTCTTACTGCTTTTGTGCGGTTTCCAGAAAAGCATACATTTATACAATGTATATGCACTTTGAAAGCTTTCAAAAACATTTCTTATCAAAATAGAATGATGAAAAGAAGTATGTTGCAAACAGTTCTTATTGACCCTCACTTTTGAATACTTCAATCAAATTACAGCTGCCTAGAGGATTATTGAAAAAGATTTTGAACAGCAGGACCCCAACTTGGAATAGATTTTTCTGTCTGCATTCAGATAATTAAAGACTAGAAATCCACTGTCCTTGTAAAAATGCTTTCCTTTTAAAAACTTCTGGAATATAATCAGAAAACTTTTGACCCTTTTGTTTGTATTGCCCAAGAAAAATCATTCTTCATATCTCAAGACCAGACATATCACACAACGTATTGGGCCGGTTTTGCCATTGCCGGCAATGGGGTGGGCACAGCTTCCGGAAGACGCGTCTGGCCCGTGGGCCGGCCCTGCTCTAGACTATGTAACAAAATAAATATTTTAGTTTACAGATCACACCATATTTCTCCTGATAGGTTCCAGAACTAATGATATTGAATCATTAATCCATTTTTTCAATAGAATTCTGTTTTCTAACTGTAGTGGATGTCTTTATAGGATTTTGACATAGTAAAACCTGACACTAAAATGAAAAATAGAACTGCAAACTTAAAACAGGCAGTAAAATTATGGAAAGAATGGAATATAACAAAATTGAAATTAAAATGCAAACTTATCATTGTTTTGGCTTTTTTGTAAGAAATAATATAAATGCTTACATTTTATATTGTGTATTATAAGATTTTTTTATACAATTGAAAAGCATTACTTTTCACTGCTTCTTGCTTCAGTGGATTGCAGAAAATATCCAACTTCCTAATGATATTTATTTGTAAATGTCTTCTGCTGTAGAATTTATCAATCTTTAATAAGTGAGGTTTTAAAAAAAAATAATACAGCATTTGGCTAGATAATTCTAGTCTTTAGGTATTAGATCAAAATATCAAAATTTGTTTTTATTTATGAAAGTCTGAATAATTTATTATCTGTTTTAAAAAGATTACTTTTCTTGGAGTTTAAATATTTCTTTCTGGCTTCAAGCAATGCAGCTCAGATGATCCATTAGCCAGAGAAATTCTTTCAGAAAATTCTTCATATTACATCCTATGTGAAATATAATACACCATATAAAATTAGAAATTCAAAATTTCTTACCTATAAAATAAGCTGATTTTATTATGTGAAAGAACTGCCAGTGTCTATTTTTGAAAAGCAGTTCTTACATTTCATCAACATATTTGTTGGCCTTTATTTTGGTTTTTCATTATTATAGGGATAATTCTGCTATATCATAATTTCCTCTGTAAATCTTGTTGAGTATTATAAAAGTTCTCAATGTATATATTGTTGAATTATATTAACATTTAACAAATTCTATAAGCATTAATTGAAAACATTTTGAATAAATGTCAGTGAATCTTTAATGAATTTAATGAAACCTTTGAAAATGGCAACCTAATCCCTGACTATTATACTAAGAAGCTGCTAAATTAGTTCACTGACAAAGAAAATCAATCATTGTAAATGATCTTTAAACAATGGTACTCAAACAGTGGCTGATTCTATAAAGAAATAATAAGCAGCTCAATGCCCTCCCCACATTATTTATTTTGTTGTCTTATTTGTTTCATAAAAGGTTAATGGTAGGAACCTCCTTTCAGTTGACTTTGATCGGACTTCAAAGACAGAGAAGATTTATGATGATCACCGTAAATTTCTACTGAGAATCGCCTATGATACTTCAGGACATCCAACTCTCTGGTTCCCAAGCAGCAAGCTTATGGCTGTCAATGTTACCTATTCATCTACAGGTCAAATTGGTAGCATCCAGCGAGGCACCACTAGTGAAAAAGTAGATTATGACGGACAGGGAAGGATTGTATCTAGAGTATTTGCTGATGGTAAAACATGGAGTTACACGTATCTTGAAAAGGTACTATTAGTTGGAATGTTGATTTGCAATTCTATTAAAGAATTATTTCTGCATAAAATTTTAAAATGATTGCTGTATGATATTGCTGCAGTTTTAGACAGAGAAGGGGTATCTGTGTGTGTATACACACTTTCCTCCAAGATCTTACACACATACAGTTCATTCCCCTAGTCTGTTGTATCTTTGCAACAGCCCTGCAAAGTCAACTCGGCTGAACAGTAATGATTGATCCTACTCATCCAGTAAACTTTCCAACTTTGTGGGCATTTGAACCCTGATTTCTTTGGTCCTAGCCCACATCCTCACTATTGCACTGTGTTTAAGGAAAATCCATCCCAGAAAACTGATTAAGATATACAGTATGTAAGATAAATTTGTTTTACTGGAATTTACTAGCTAATGGAATTTAATTATGTCATTGAAATCACTGGGAATGATTATACATTTCTAGGATTTCAGTGAGATTGAAGTGCACTTAAGTGGCAACCAGGGTCAATGTATCTGGACATACTGGGTCTTCTTCATGAACAGTCATGTTAACCTAACAGTTTTCTCAATATTGTAATGATTGTTTATTTTGTATCGTATTTTTTCAAATGAAGTTACCCTTAAGAGTGTCTGTTAACACAAATAAAACATTGAATTTTATAATATAGGGTAATAAAACAGCTGTAGATTTTCCAGGCTAAATCTGAAAAGGGAATCTAAAAAAATGGAAAATATTTTTTCACTTTGCACAAAGAAAGAACAGCATATTCACTATCAAATCAAACTTCTGAAAGAGTTCTAAACAGCAGCATAAAAGTAACGATTTAAGCAATGATTTTTCTTTGTGTATATGTGTCTCTCTTTGTCTCTTACACACACATATACATACAAACACTAATGTGTTTTCCTCACGTTCGTCCAGCAAAATTGGTTATTTATGTTCTTGGCCCAGAATTAGGGATTTCTTTGCCCAAAATGAAATATGGTATTAAACCAGTGCTGCATACTTAATTATATACTCCCTAGCATGGCAATACTGAACAAAGCATATGGAGTCTTTTATCATTATTTAATTTGATGTCCTTTAGTGGGACACAGCAGAATTTGCCTTAGGTGGAAACAGCCACCGACAGTGACAGATGCTGAGAGTTTTATACATCTTCATGTGAGTAATATAAAATAACAGTGGTAGTGATGTGTAATGCCAAAGCTTTACAAAAGGAATCATTTGGTGACTAATTAACTCTGCAGAATTTGATGTAAATAACAAGTCAATTGCTTCGCCCATCTGACAGATATAAAAGAGGAGGTTCAGGGATCTTCAGGCTAGTAAAATTCTCAGTAAATTATCTCTAATTACAGGAGTGAAATTGTCTCCTCCATATGTTGTTCCCTTCTTGAGTTGCTGGCTTAAGACAGCCTCACTTTTGTTGGTATTAAACATGACTTATCCCAGTCCATTGACAATCTGCTGTTTGGCATTGAGTACTTGATAAAAGGATGACTCAGTCACAACCAGAACACATTAGGAATCTGGAGTGACTCATTATAGATCCTCTTACAATTAAGTATCCAAATGAATTAGGTAATTACCAATATGTAAGGTCAAGAATTACTCAATTTGAATAATGATGATTTAGTAAAAAACAGTGTTGCTTGTCTACCAATAGTTTTGGCACTTGATTAAACTCTGTTTTCTTTTTCAGTCAATGGTTCTCTTACTGCATAGCCAACGGCAGTATATCTTTGAATATGACTTACTGGATCGGCTTTCTGCAATAACCATGCCCAGTGTAGCTCGCCACACTATGCAGACTATCCGTTCTATTGGCTACTATCGGAACATCTACAATCCTCCAGAAAGCAATGCCTCTGTCATCATGGACTATAATGAAGAAGGGCAGCTGTTACAAACTGCTTTCTTGGGCACAAGTCGGAGAATCTTGTTCAAATACCGAAGGCAGACCAGGCTTTCTGAAATTCTATATGATAGCACAAGAGTGAGTTTTACTTATGATGAGACAGCAGGAGTTCTGAAAACAGTAAATCTCCAGAGTGATGGCTTTATTTGCACCATTAGATACAGGCAAATTGGTCCATTGATTGACAGGCAGATTTTCCGTTTTAGTGAAGATGGAATGGTAAATGCCCGATTTGACTACAGCTATGACAACAGCTTCAGAGTGACTAGCATGCAAGGTGTTATCAATGAAACTCCATTGCCTATTGATCTCTATCAGTTCGATGACATATCTGGAAAAGTTGAGCAGTTTGGAAAATTTGGGGTTATTTATTATGACATTAATCAGATAATTTCAACAGCTGTAATGACTTACACAAAACACTTTGATGCTCATGGTCGCATAAAGGAAATTCAGTATGAAATATTCCGATCACTTATGTACTGGATTACAATTCAGTATGATAACATGGGCCGAGTAACTAAAAGAGAAATTAAAATAGGGCCATTTGCTAACACTACCAAGTACGGTTATGAATATGATGTTGATGGCCAGCTACAGACAGTTTACCTTAATGAGAAAATAATGTGGCGCTACAATTACGATTTGAATGGCAATCTCCACTTGTTGAATCCAAGTAATAGTGCTCGATTGACACCACTGCGATACGATCTGAGGGACAGAATCACTCGACTTGGTGATGTTCAATACCGGTTAGATGAAGATGGATTCCTGCGACAGAGGGGCACTGAGATATTTGAATACAGTTCAAAGGGTCTCCTTACCAGAGTTTATAGCAAAGGCAGTGGATGGACAGTGATATATCGTTATGATGGACTTGGAAGACGGGTTTCCAGTAAAACCAGCCTGGGACAGCATCTTCAATTTTTTTATGCAGATCTCATATATCCAACAAGAATAACTCATGTGTATAACCACTCAAGCTCTGAAATCACGTCTCTCTATTATGACTTGCAAGGACATTTATTTGCTATGGAGATTAGCAGCGGAGATGAGTTCTACATTGCCTCAGATAATACTGGAACCCCACTGGCTGTTTTCAGTAGTAATGGTCTAATGCTGAAGCAGATTCAGTACACTGCCTACGGTGAAATCTATTTCGATTCTAACCTTGATTTCCAGTTGGTGATAGGATTCCATGGAGGTCTTTATGACCCACTAACCAAACTAATTCATTTTGGTCAAAGAGATTATGACATATTGGCAGGCCGTTGGACTACACCTGATATTGAAATTTGGAAAAAAATAGGGAAAGATCCAGCTCCCTTTAACCTGTACATGTTTAGAAATAATAATCCAGCCAGCAGAATAAATGATGTGAAAGATTATATCACAGGTAAATATGTACATTTAATGAAGTACAATTCTCTGTTGATTTTTATTAAATTACATTATACATGTATATCACCTTGGAATTACAGCATCTGATAGCAACGTACTGTAAAATTTATATGAGTAGGAATATACTTTATTAAGGTAAAAATGTATGTCTATTCTACCTTGCTTCACATAGGTGAGAAGTATACATAGTTGGGTAAAATAGTAAATAAGTATATCATTTTTCTTAATTAGATCTATCTGAGATCTTGTGTCTATAGAAAGTCCTCAGGATGGTCACTTTTTTCCCAGGGAAGAATTTCATTATAGCCAATGATAGATGTAGTCCCTTAATAGAAAATAAGACTTATCAGAAATCCTCATAATAGGCCTTGTTCCTTGTCTCTACAGAATATTTGAACTCTTAGAGGATTCAAAAGAAAATGGGGTTTTGATGTTTCCGTTTGACTAAATGGTTACTATGGCAACAGTTTATAAGTCTGCAAATTTATTGTGTATTATGAGTGCTATTATGCCAGATGGCCAATACATCTAGGAAACATACTAGGATTTCTTGCTTGCATGATAACACCTTGGATGTTTAAAAGGAAAGTTTTCCAAGCAGTTATGTGTCAGTGGGCAGAGTAATGTGCAAACATTCCTTCTTGCTATTTATGGTTGTGGGTTCATCTGTAGATTAATCCAAAAACCTAATTCACACTATACTTGTATTTATTTGATGAATATATATTTGGACACCATTCTATTCTTTTGCAATTTCTTTTCTTCCAAAGAAATGGATACAGGTTCATTGTAAATCACTTGAAATATCAGTGCCAGTTGCTCTCAGTATCTAAGAACTATGCTTCCCTTTTTACAATGAATTCTTTGCATAAGTTATTTACCTAATTATAACGCACTTATACGATCCTACCATGTTTTCCCGAAAATAAGATCCGGTCTTTTTTTGCCTCCAAAAGAGGCACCAGGTCTTATTTTCGGGAGAGGGGGTCTTTTCCACTCACCTCACAGCAGCGGCACCAACAGCCCCATGCAGCCAGCCCACTTCTGCAGCTGAAGGAGCAGCATCATTCAGGAGCTGAGAATGGAGCTTGGGCCTGCATTTTGCAGTCAGAGGCCTTTCTGGAAGGCATCTGCAGCTGAGAACCGAGCTATGGATTCAATCCATAGGTCGGTTCTTGGCGATACAGGCCTTCTATAGAAAGGCCTCTGACTGCCAAGTGCAGGCCGAGCTCCATTGTCAGCTGCAGAATGAAGCTGCTCCTTCCGGCAAGGCAAGTGTCAATCCATGGAGGCCTGGCTGCAATCATAAGCTCCAACCGCCCCTCACTCTAGCTTGATTTTTAGGCATGCACTTCGCCACAAAACTAGGGCTTATTTTTGAGGTAGGGCTTATATTAGGCCCACCTCAAAAAATCAAGTTAGGGCTTATTTTCGGGGTAGGTCTTTCAGGGAAACACAGTAAGTGTACCATGCTACCTATATATTCCTGTTTAATACATCTACATTGCAGCAACGTTTAGATTAGATAATTTAATTTGTATACCGCCCTTCTCCCATAGGACTCAGGGCGGTTCACAGCATATTAAAAACAAATAGTATACACAAAATACAAAAAATACAAAATACAAAAATACAGAAATACAAAAAATAAACCCCGATAAAAGCCGAATTAAAACCAAATATTACCAGCTGTGTTTCCGATTAAAATACTTTTAAAATT